CTTTGCTGCCTGAGGCAGCCTTCTTGCTCTGACTCCCCAAAGGGCTGGCCCCACATCAAGAACACACACAGGGGTTCTGGTTTGTCTTGGGGTTTTAACGCACAAGCGCTCTCGCTGATGCGCTGCCTTCGTGGCCCTCTGCCCAAACTCTCCCAACCCATTTTTGTTAAATACGCATAAATGAACTGCTTGGGGCAGCAGGAAAAAGCAGGGAGGGAGATTCCTCATGCAGATAAGTTTCATGGACTTTTTGGTGGACGGTCCAGTTTTTGTGCAGTACGTGCTCATCACTTTCCCACAGTCCTTGTGTCTTGCCTTCATGTTTTTCCTTTTCAGGTGAGGCATCCCGTTTTCTGGGTATCCAGTTACGTTGATTCAAACCTGGGGAAATGCAGTCCTTCCCCAAACGGTGCATTTTTATTTTGTTTTTATTGTTTGCTCCTGCAACTTTTGCACAGAATGCACTTGCGCAAGCTTTATTTGTGAGCCCGTCCCAGGGACTGGGATGCGCACTGCTGCTTCCGCAGTGTCGTGACGTGTTTGCACCGTCGTGGCATGGCTGCTTTGGCGTCACCTCACCTGGCAGTCGGTGGGGAGAGATGGGGGGCATGTCTGGCTTAGCATAATGAGTAGATGCAGGACCACGTGTCCTTCCTCTATAAAACCCCTGCCTGGAACTACCCATCTGGCTTGATTTTGTTTCGTTTCTCAAGGGACCCACAGATTTTGCCGCACTGTTGTCACTAAGAGGTGGTCCCCCCGGGGACGCTGAAAGGAATTTGTGGCCTGCTTTTTCCGATCGTGTGCATGGGGGAAGGGGAGGAATTTTGGTGATGTGCTGCTTTCCTAAAAGCTTATTTGCTGCACCAGAATGCACCTCTGACTGGCATTGTCTCTATTTAGCAGCATCACTGGCAGTCCGTGGACGTTGTGTTTCCCATCCTGAAGATGGTATTGTTGAGGAGGTAGATTTTTCTGTACGAACATAGCTGCATTCCCACTGTGGAGGTGGATGGAAAGCCGTTGAGCCAGACCTCACAACTGTTGAGGACGAGCAACGCTGCCCTGCTTTAGTGCCTTTTCCCTCCCTCCCTTTTTGCCTTTTCCTGAAGGATCAGAGTGTAAGTTTGTTGACATTCTTTTATTCTGCATTATGCACTGAGCAATTGCACAATTTCGGTGGATGAGTCTGTTAATAAATGACATGCACACCGTCAGACAACTCCATTGTAATTGAAGGCTACCAGTGCTGAATAGTTCTGTCAAAACAGTGATATATAAATGGCATTCAGCTGACTGGTAAGAGAAGAACATATTCAGTGCACTATTTTAACACTGGCCATACACTGGACTGGTTTTTCTTTTTACTTCCACGGAAGGGAGCCAGATGGTGCAGACCAATGAGTTGTGTCTGGTGGAAAGTAGCTCATGATTGTTGTCAATTTGGAGTGGAAATCCTCACACACAGTGAAACTGGGGGAAAATCGGGACTTCTGTACTGCACAAGTAGCCAGAAGTTGGACTCAGTGGCCTGACAGGCCCCTTCCAGCTCGACTGTGCTATGATTCTATGGAGTGTGAATGGAGAAATGCTCAGCAGGACCCCGACTCCATTTCCGTAAATAGAATCTAAGTAGCCTGTGGCTACTTGGAGCCCAGGAGCAGCCTCTGGCCCAGTTCCCATTACTGGCAGCTCCTCTTGGCCCTCCACCCTTTCTTGCCATGACTTTGGATGCTGCTGGAAATAGGCTTGTTCAGGTTTTAAGACAATCCATGCCGAGCCGATACCAAGCAATACTGAGCTGGTGCTAGATGGGCGGCAAAAGCAACAGTGATACCTGCAATGTCCTAGCAGGTAAAGGTGCTGGGACTGTAAAGGGAGATCTGGCTGAAGGAACAGGGCAGGGGTAGCACAGGTAAATCGATAGATGGAGGAAACAGGTGTGTGGTTATGCGCGGTCCATTAGCATGGTCCTAAATTTCATGCTGGTTGGTCTGCAATTAGAAGATGCTTGTGTGTGTGTGCTCTAAATAAGGGACCAACTAGCAGTTCTAGGAGGAGTTCATAGTTTCAGTAATGGAATTCTAATGTGGTTGCTTGTCGATAATGAACTAGGATGTTTTGTGGCCTTCAGGTTGGATTGGACAAATGTGTGGAAGATCAGACTGTCTGACTACAAGGCCTGATGGCCGTACACTAATTTTGCAGGGAATGGACAAAAGACCAAATGGCTAGGGAACACGAGTTACTACACTCACATCTGACTTGTGGACTTCCTCTTTGGGCGTCTGGTTAGCTACTCTATGTACAGAATGCTGGACTGGATGGGCCTTGGTCGGGTCCAAGGTGGCGCCGTTTGTATGTGTGTTTATGAGGGTGAGAGAGCACGAGAGAGACTGAAGGAGGGCTTTTTATGGAAATGTTCCTGTGCCAGGAGCCATTTTATGTGCTAGCTGGCATCGCAGGAGTTAGTGTTCAGTAAATAAATAGCCAAAGGCTTTGTTGAGAATAATGTTTGGCCTTCTCGTCATTCCTCCAGCAAAAGGGGGTTTAAGCATTATAACCCAAAGCAGAATTGCATCCACCAGAGGTTGTATTTCCCAAAGGGTGTCTGGGGTTATTGTGTTCAATAACCAAAGGCAACCTTTGTGGAAAATATACGGCTTAACATTTCCTTATCTTGCAAGGTCTGCCTTTTCATCCACTGCTTGTTTCTCCTTTTCCTATACTGTGTGTGTGTGTGAATATATAAATGGCCACACTAAATAAGATCCTGCAGCGTGTAACTTCTTGCTGCTCAAAAGTAGCTTGGATAGAGAACACTCATTTTTCTTGCTGCCTACGCAAAGCCCATCCCAAAGGTCACTGAGGCTAGGAAGAAAAAGCTGCCATTGATTCTGCTGATCCTTTTGGTTAAGGCCCCGGGGTTGTAGCAAGTCTGGTTATGTTTCTCCAGTGTTTATTTTGCTTCCTGAATCTGTGGCTGTGAAATATGTAGTGTTTCAGTACAATTCATAATAATGCAGGGTTCCCAAGAAGGAGCAGAATGAAATCAATGAAGTTGGGAAAAAAAAAGTCTAGGCCATGAGTTGATTTTTTTTTTTTAAATAGCATTGAATGAAATGCTGTTCTATTAGATGCACAAGCTTCTGATCCTAAACATACTTCCTAGGTAGGTAGAAAGGACCATTGACCTTGGTGGAACTTAGTTCCAAGTACAAATGCACAAAATTGTGTTGCATGTATAGCTTCATTTAATCTCTGCTTCCCGTGTTTAGGTCCTTCTACCATATAATGCATCTATCTCACTTGGTTTCTGCCATGCGGAGAAATGTCATTAAGTTCAAACCTGTGCAAGGATACCCGGAGTCCTGCTCTGTATTATTTTTCTGAGTGTACAGGCTATTCAGTTATGCTCTTTCGGATGTGAAGGTTCAGAATAATTATCTGCAGTCCTTTAGTATCAGTAGGGATGTCATCCAGTTTAGGATAACTTAGTGTAGCAGTCAGGGTCATTTTGCAACAAAATCCTATTGCTACTAGACAGCATATAAACACCCTGCTTTGCTTAGCCAGCATGGAAAGAAATGCTTCTTTGGGAACATAAGAGCAACCTTGGAGAAGGGCTCTTGGGAGCATTCCTGGAGGCATGGAGGGAAAGAGACCATTGCTACCCAAAATATTATATATTCTGATGGTGCATCAGCATCCTTTCCTCCTACTCTCTTACCACAATTATTTACATCATGATGATGATGATGATGATGACGATGATGCCAATTTTGTCCATCGAAGTATTTGGCAGAGCAAGAGGAACATGGAGCCCCCCACAAGAGACCCCAGTCCTTCCAGTTCAGAGGCATTCCCATCAGATGATGCTCTTGATAATTCACCCGATTAATTGCATTTGAGTAGGAGTGACATTTCTGAAGTGCTTTTGTTTTCAAGTGTTGCAGGCATGTGCAGGCATCACCCACTGTCTTAGAAGAGGCCTTCCCTATCGCTTGTCGCCCAGAAAGGAACGCCTCTTCAAAAGCAACACTTGGCCCTCGCAGTTTTTGGAAATACCGCCATTACAGCTGCAACATGCCTAGGAAAAATTATTTTCTGAGGTGTTAAATAAAGTAACGAAAATCCACTGGCTGATTCACTGGGCAACTTTTCCTTTAATTTACTGAATTAGCTGATTCACTGGCACCACCTGAAGCCCCCCAAATATGGGCTATTTCACCATTGTGCTGTGTTGGTCTTTCACAGAGGGGTGGGCAGCCTTGATAGACGATTTGGGAAAGCCTTTATGTGCATGGATTATTATTCTTTTACAGTGCCTGTTGTTATCATCCTGGCTGAAACCCATTGCCCCCGATTACCGCGAAGCTGTTTACAAGGTTTAGGTTAATTGGATTTCTTAACTACTTCCCAGGGCAGAAGTACAGCATGGATGGAGTTCAAAAAGCAGAATGCAGCCTGGATACAAACGGGAGGGAAGCGGCTTTACTTAATAATCAGCTAAGCAGAGAGCAGGTGGGGGTGGATGGGGAGATCTGGAATTTGGTGCAGGAGGGGTCTCTTTCTGCACACTGCTGTACCCAGGCAGCATGTGGTCCCATTCTTTTCTGCCGCATCTTCTGCAGAGTCGGGAAGACATGGGAACCCTTCTCGAGAGAAGAGGCTTTGAAGCGGCCAGGACTTTACCTTGAGAGCCATTTTGTTTGTGCTTTCCAGGCGTAAGGTCATGAATGCAGTTAGCGTCTCGTGTGATGGTTGCTCTAGGCAGAGAAGAGGTGGTCTCCAGAGCCTCCTGCATTCCTCTTCCCCTTCCCCAACCCCCTGCTTCTCTGTCCTTGGTGCCTTCATAATGGCACAACATTGCACCCTCCAGGTGTGACACACAACTGCAACCTCCTGCTTCACACTGATTTGTTTCACTCTTGCTGTTGGGGAATACGAAATCCTCAGTTCGAGTCGGTAACCTTCTTTCTTTCTTTTTTCATTTCCAGGCTTCTGAAGGCTCGGAGAAGCTCTTCTCCCCTGCTGCAGCAAGAGGTAGGTCATTCTGAAGAAACACTTTCCTGACATTGCATCCAGCTCGCTCTTCCTCCGAAGACATCCTTCTGAGCCTTTTAACCATGATCAGCCCTCCAGCCGGCTTGGGTTGCCCTCCAGGCCACCTCGCTTTGTCTCTTGAAGAGCTCAGCGACTGTGTGCAAACCTGAATCCCTGTTTTCCAACTGTTATTTTTGCCCACTCTTCTCTCCAACTCATTCAGGCTCATAGCAGAAACTTGCCAGGTTTGTGTTTTTTTTTTTTTTTTTTGGCTGATTATTCCATTGGTCTTCAGCTGGGTTGTTGTAACCCATAAATAGGTTTTTCTGTGACCCGCAACCGGTATGCTGCTACCTTTCTTTCTGGAGGGGTTTGTTTTGTTCTAGCTTTTTGGTAAAGAAAAGAGGAGAGAGGACAAAAGAAGCACCTACACAGGGAAAAACATATCTTTACATGCACAACCAATGTGGGCTTTTCCAAGATTCTGATTTATATATCTGATTTCCCAGCTGTTTGCTTAATTGTTGGTTTTGTTGCAAGCGGATTCTAATGTGTCGTGTAAGAACATGGTATATGGTTGCTAAATGGCAGGATATCATTAGTATAAGCTAGAACATTAAAGCTGCAATCCCGTGCAGGCTAAGCTCAAAATAACCCATACTGAACACCGTGGGAATGCATTCTGGGTGCATATGGATGAAATTGCGGGCCTTACAGAGACCCTACACAGCAGGCTGGGGTTTACATAGCACTGTGATGGAATTCTATATTATGGCATAATGGATCTCCTCTAAAGTAGCATTAACTCTGGAGCCATCTCTGTGTGCTTTAAGGTCTTTAACATAATGCATTTTAGCTCACAGCATTTGTATATGAAGGGGGGGGGGAAGCATAGTAATCAGCTTTCAGTGGACAAATCAGGGAGGTGTCATGCCCCAATGTGGCCTCGGTGACTACAACTGTGAAATGGGCTGCATTCCGAGGGCTTCGAGCCACAGGCTGCCTTGTATAGCTCTGTACATAGGCGGGAAGGCGTCGCCTCCCTAGCCTCACTCCCTGCTAGAGAATAGTGCTTTAACCCAGAAGTATGGGCCCCCCCTGCAGTGGTGATCCATGACCCTTTGTTGGCACAGGACCCTGCAGCTATTTCTTCCTGGTGCAAAGGGAGCGAGGCGTTCGCTGCAGCGGCCTTCGCAAAGACCGTCTTCCCTGCAAATAAATCAATGAACAAATACGAAATGGCTGCTTGTTTTGGCACCCAGCTTCCCCACACATGGGTCTCTCACAGAGACTCTCTTTCACATTCTTTGTTCTCCCACAGTCCCTGCACTCTGTCTGAAAGACGGGCTTTCTTTAGCCTCAGGGCAGATGGGGGAAAGAAGGCTGCTTGAATTATGAACGCCAAAATACCAAGGAAGCCCTGTGTGGTGCAGCTTTCCCCTTCTCTCGCATTCGCACTCATCCAGAACCTTAAGGACTCTTACAGCAAACATACCTTTGTCTGTTGCCACCTGGTTTCTGCACTTGAGAACCCAGACCTCTGATTAAGTGGGGAAAACAGCCTCTTGTGGGGACCTGCTGGTAGGGCCTTATTTTAGCCCCAGCCTTGTTCTTTTATCAGGCCCATTTAAGGCCAGTTTCCTGGCTTTCTCCATGCTCCTTTAAAGAAAACGGCCTTGGAGCAGGGAGAGCAAACCCTTTGGCTTTTATCGCTGAGCCGTTGCAATCTCTCCCCGGTGGCGTGATTCCCAGGTAGTCTGAGCCGCCACCCCCCGTTTAGAAATCAAACTCTTCCCATCCAGCTCCTTGGCAGCATGTCTAAATGCATCTTGGGGGTGCTTTGGGACCCCGCCGAACCTCATGCTGGCATTTTTACTAGAAGTCAGCCCACTGGCTTTTTAAACTCTGGGCAGAATTGGAATGGAGTCCCGAAGGGGGAAGCCTCAGCCTCCTCTCCGATCTCTTCACTGTGTGCGGTGCTGCTGGTGGAGAACAACTCTCATCCCAGCAGATGGCATCTCTCCCTCGCCCCTTCGAGTTGCCCCATGCAGATCTGGTGTATCTCAGAGGGCACTGGGCGTGTGCACCCACAGCAGCCTTCTCCACATAACGCCACCATAGGAGAAATTTCCTGCCACTCTAGTTAAATTCCCCGGCCCAGAAAATACGGCCAAAATCCCTCTGCCTGCTTGGTTGCCCGTGAACAGGGCAGCAACACAAGGGACACACGGACAGACACGCCTTTCTGCTTGCCAGCGCTCTGTGCCAGCCTGGCTTGCCCCCTTTCACTGTTGCCGTCCGGGTATCAAAAATTGGACGTGCTGCCTGTGGAAAAACCCTATCGAGAGGTTTGGGGGTTGAATCAGCGGCTTGTCTCCCTCTAGCATCTTTGGTGTTCTGCTATAATAAACAGACTAATAAATCCCTGTCTTTAAAGTGAACTGTGCTTAATTTGAGTTGGGATTTGCCATTATCAGGGAAAGTGGTCCAGAAACAAGCAGCAGACCCTGAAGCATAAATCTCGCGTGTCACCTGTTAGCTGTTTTCACTCCTGCCGCAGAGGCGTCTGTGCCTCAGAGTTAAAAGGGTATATCTAAATCTAGCGAACAGAATGCTACGGCTTTCAGAATTTCCAACTCAATTTCAGATTAGTTTAATTGTCCCTGAATTTCTCCCCAGAAACCCTAGGCACTAGCTAGAAATGCTTATTCCCTTGCAAAACTACGATCCCCAGAGTTCAGTGGGGTAAGCTGTGGCTGATTTGTAGAGAAATTCCTATACCACATGCCACCACTTACACTTACGAGTTTAAGAACGGGCCGGAACAATATCTCTGTTTTATATAATTTAAGGTCTGCCAGCCAAGCAGTATATCTTGTGTGTCAGTTATTTTAGCAACTTGCATAATTGGGTATTTTAGCAGTGACAGACCTCGTGTTGTCCTCCAGACAGGTTTTCTAAAGTCTACCGACTTTGCACCAGCTTCTTTCCCTGATGTGTAGGAGGGAGAAGGGACAGATCTCCCACCTCTATTCTTTAGATGGCCACAGTAAGGAAATCAACAAAAATGTGTAATTTGTTTGATATTGTTCCACTGACTCCAGGTAACATATGTGGTCATAGTAGCTTTCTCCGAGGAGTTTGTCCAATTTCTTACAAAGAGGTGCAGGGTTTTTGCACCAAGCTCATGTTGTGCAGGTGGTGCTTTTGAAGGAAAGGGGGCCTCCCTTTCTTCAAAGGTCTGAGGGCCACTGGCGCTAAACGTGACCACGGTGCAGAGGGACTGTGCGCTCCGCCCCCTGTGGTGCGTCAGACAGGTAGGCACAGGGCGGTGCGTGAGGATGCAGCGAGGAGAGGCGCTGCTGCTGGAGCGGCTCCTGCTCGGACGGCACAGTGTTGGTCTTGGCTAGGTGGCTGCTGGGCAGGGGACAGCACGGGTCTTGCAGGCCGGACCCCCCAGCAAGGACCAAGCCCTGGCAGTTCGTCCTCCCAGGCCGAGCAGAAGTGCCGGGTGGACGGAGAAAGGGCAGCACGTGCACCTGGGAAAAGCATCCTGGAGCCCCGAGAGAGGGAGGCAAGGCGCACGCCTTTGGTATACATGGCCCCGGATCAGTGCAGGTCCGCCAAGTTGCAGCACTGCATGCACTGCAGCTGGCGTGTCGGGGCACCGCGTGGAAGACGAGTCAGTGGGCAAAGCAGGAGAGAGCGAGATGCCCGAGTGCCGGCAGCGTTCGGCCTCTCGCTGAGGCCTTGGAAGGCCTTGATCTGGAGCTCCTCGGGGCCCCCCGTGGGCCTGCCTGGTGTGCCTCCTCCTCTCTCTCACCACTGCTGCAAGTTGCTTGCTGGGCAGGCACAGCGCCCGCTGCTCCAGCTTCTCCCCACCTTTGTGCGCAAGGCCTGGGGCACAAGTGGGGGGGGGCAGCTGTGGTCAAGGCGGCAGCACCAGGGTGCAGAGCAGGGTGGAGGTTGCGCCATGGTTCAAGGGCCAGCAGCAGGAGGCGCATCTTGGAGCAATCCAGGGTCAGGAGCCAGCAGGGCCACAAAGTTTGGGCAGAAACGCAGTCCGAGGGCAGGCCAGAGGTACCAGAAAGGGAGTCATGCGAGGCGAGGTCTGGGAGGGTGGGTGCAGGTGCCTGGTAATCCGGCTGGAAACAGGAACAAGCTGGAGCTGGGCAGGAGCCGGCTCTACACACAGGCAGGAACCAGGACTGGGGCCTGGCCGTGCTGGAAGCCTGAGCATGAGGATGCCAAGGGCCGCTGGCAAGGAGCGGCACTGCTGCGAAGCCTCTTCTGCCGCTTCCACCCCCGCCCCGCTGCTCCCTGCCAGCACCTGGTTCTGCAGGCCCTCCCAGGGTGAATCAAGCCCTGGTCCTGGCAATGGTGCAGAGGAGGTGCGGCCGTTAGGGGCTATTGGCTTTGCACCCGTTCTGGGTGGGGGGGGGTGGACTTTGAGCAGCAACCGTGCCCTGGGATTCTGTCTTGGCACGCCCCGTGTACGGCACTCTCCAGGCCTGGCATGCCGTCTTGGTATTGCCTGCCAGCTCCCCTGCTGTGATATACCTGACCATTTGCAATGGCAAAAACACTTAGGCATCTGTTTGCATATGTTGTATTTATGGCTGAAAGTTCTAAGTATATTTTCTCCACCCCGTAAAGACACTGGCCAGTTCCAGAGCGTTGCACCTCCACAGAGCTCTCCTCCTGGGAACAGAAAGACTCTTTAGAATTCCAGGCACTAAAATTGTCCCAGTGTTGATTTTTTTTTTTAAAAAAGTGACCTGCCAGGCACATTTTCAAACCACTGTCCATTAGAAATTACATTTCCTCAGCATGGGACCCATCACCATCCGCCGTGGGATGCTCTGAAACTACTTGGCGCAGTGGACTAACATCTTGAAGTCCCTTTGAAGCTTCTGTCTTTTATTTTATTTTCTCTTATTTTGTCCTCTTGGCCACAGAAAAGTGCCTCAGGCCAGCAAGAGAGATTTCTTGTTAAGAGA